ATAATGTTGCTAACGGGTCTATTGTTGTGTCGTTACGCCATTGAATACAGGGTCACTATTGCTGATCAATACACCTACTTTTTTTTTTTTACATTGAAGCTTGATGCATCATCAAACTGTTCCTTTTTTAAAGTTTTACTTGACTTTTACAATTGAACAATATCGAACGAAGTTTCAAAGCTATTTAAAACAAAATCTTATGGCAATGAAACAAAATTGATGCCACTCAACAAATGCTGCTTGCTGATGAAAGACTGGAAGACTTTGGTGAATTTGCTGGAGGGCATGTGAGAGTGGAAAAAAAAAAGTATTCTTGATCTGCCCATCTCTATTGAACAGCCCCCACTGTGCAGCTGATAGTCCTGGAAGGAAATATGAAGCTTGGTCCATTAAGATCTTTTAGAATAGATTAAAATGTTCAACCTACAGCTGGGCCATTTATATTTATCTCTGATCTTCTCATGCACTGCTAACCAATAGTAGCAAAGTCCAGGATAAATATATTACAGGCTTGGATTGTAGATACCAGGCCTTTGCCCGGTGGGCCGGTCCTAATTTCAGCGTGCGGGGGCCAGCCCTCCTCTCTCCGGCCGAAGCACCCACCTGTGACAGTAAATAACTCAAGGAGCTCAAAAAGTAATACATTAACTACCTAAATAATGCATGCAGTATATATAACCCTTCCTTTTCATGCACATCCCTGTGACGGTTGGTATGGCGTAATTTTCTACTTCTTTAAACTGTAAAATCCTATTTCATCAAACTGTAAAATCCTTGCAACAAACTAAATTATAATAAAACTAAAATGCTTTCTTTAAACCAAACTACAATGTTCCTCTTATATTTGGCGAATTTATGTTTGAATATTTTGCAAAAATATTTTGCGGTGCATATTTGAAGATAGATCGGTTAATCCACAATGTGTATTCGTATTGTGTTTCAAATTTGAGACACGCGTTTGACTGTGCTTCTATTTTTAATTTTTTTTCAGTGGGGGGGGGGGTTCATAAGTGGGCCAGATGTAGATGGAAAAATGCCAGGGCCGAAAATCGTTCCCGGTCCGAGCCTGATATAGTATGCTATTTAAGTGTAGGTTGCATGGCTGAGGGTGAGAAAATAACAGTTTTCTCTAAAAGTTGCATTAAAACCAGAAAAATAAGAAGTTGTTGTATGCTTCTGGGCAACAATTGTCTTCTGAAGACACATAGTGGTAAGGGAGCCCTTCTGTTCAACTAGCTGTTGCTTGAGTTTTTATAAGGCTTTCAAATATAGATCCAGAATGAAAACTGCATATTAGCGTTGGATCAGCCCTACTAAGAGGAGGATTTAAATTAGGCATTCATCTTGAGCAGGTATCTCCAAAGTCAGTTCTCAAGGGCCGCTGTCCTGCAGGTTTTAGAGGTTTCTCAGCTTTAGCACAGCTGATTCTGATGATTGCTGTTCAGCAAAAGCCTGCTAATAAGCTATCATTGGAAATCAGCTGTGCTGGAGCAGGGAAACCTTTAAACCTGCAGGAGAGCTGCCCTCAAGGACCGACTTTGGAGATGCCTGATCTTGAGAAATCATCAAGTTAAAATTTACGGTTTTGAAACAACAGCTTTTTTTTTTTTTTACAAAGTTGTCAAAATGGTTTCTTTATTTGAAGTCCAAGAAAATATTTTGGCTAAAAATGAGAATCTCTATGCTTTAATTCTTGAGTTTCTTTTTGAATTTTCTGATTCTTCTAAAATGGAGCTTACAGATATACATCCTGAAAACCCAGAAGACCTTTTCTTATATTAGTCCCTTTGAATATTCTCTCTTGCAGGCCATCTCCCTAGACAGATAATGGGTCCAGACTGAACGCTACAACTCCGCTGACCTGTCTTTAACACTGTAGCCATGGCAACTTGTTCGAGAGGCTGTGCGCCGGCTGTGCGCCTTTGTCAAAGACTAAACCGGCTCAAGACGCTTGACGGTGACATGATGGAGACTTCCTTGAAGCGTTGCCTCTCCACCTTGGACCTGACTCTGATGGGCGTAGGCGGCATGGTTGGCTCTGGGCTTTATGTCCTGACAGGAACTGTGGCTAAAGACACTGCCGGTCCGGCTGTCATCATATCGTTCATTTTTGCAGGTATCGCTTCTCTACTTGCTGCCTTCTGTTATGCAGAGTTTGGAGCACGCATTCCTAAAACAGGATCTGCGTACATGTTTACCTATGTGTCTGTGGGAGAAGTTTGGGCTTTTCTCATTGGCTGGAATGTGATTCTGGAAAACATGATTGGTGGTGCTGCTGTAGCGCGGGCCTGGAGCGGCTATCTGGACTCAATTTTTAACCATGCTATCCAGAACTTTACAGAAACACACATCATGCAGTGGAATGTGCCCCTCATTGCCCATTACCCTGACCTCCTGGCTGCAGGTATCCTTGTAGTTGCCTCTGTTTTCATTTCCTTCGGAGTTCAAGTGTCCTCCTATCTGAACCACATCTTCTCCACCATCAGCATGGGTGTCATTGCTTTTATCCTAGTCTTCGGCTTTGTTCTTGCTGATCCTACCAACTGGAACCAGGAGCATGGTGGCTTTGCACCTTACGGGATGTCAGGGATCCTGGCTGGCTCGGCCACATGCTTCTATGCTTTCGTTGGGTTTGATGTGATTGCGTCCTCAAGCGAGGAGGCGAAGAATCCTCAGAAGGCCATTCCAATTGCCACTGCTATCTCTCTTGGAATGGCGGCGACAGCCTACATCCTGGTCTCCTGCGTATTAACACTGATGGTACCCTGGCGTACCCTGGACCCTAACTCAGCCCTGGCAGACGCCTTCTTCCGCCGCGGCTACAGCTGGGCTGGGATTATTGTGGCCGTAGGTTCCATCTGTGGTGAGTTTCAGCCTTTTTGTGATTTCTACTTTCAATTATGTATTTTTGACTAATATTTCCATTTTCCTTTTGTTTTTTTTTATTAGCTATGAACACTGTGCTGCTCTGTAATCTCTTCTCCCTTCCTCGGATTGTATACGCCATGGCAGAGGATGGGTTGTTCTTCTCCATTTTTGCCAGGGTCAATCCTGTCACCAAAGTTCCCGTCAATGCCATCCTGGTGTTTGGAGTCCTCATGGCCTGCATGGCTTTGATCTTTGACTTGGAGGCTTTGGTACAGTTCCTGTCTATCGGGACTCTGCTTGCGTACACCTTTGTGGCGGCGAGCGTTATCGTGCTGCGCTTCCAACCTGAGAAGACCAACTCCAAGGATACCTCTACAAAATCTCCCGACGCCAAAGCTGAGGTGTGCGCTGCTCCCTCAGAGGCACAGACCATAACTGAAGACGCCGAAGAGCCCAAGCAGTACGAGTCCTTCTCGGACAAACTCCAGCTGGTGGAGAGGCAGAAGACGAGAGAGCGGCGTGGGGTGGGGCAGCTGAGGGCCTACTGGGAGCCCTACCTGGACAGGCTGCTGGGGGACTGTGAACCCGGCGAAGTGGTGGCTTTCTGTGTGATGACCCTGATTGTCAGCTCAGTGTCCCTCTGTGCTGTGCTGGAGTTTGGAAACGAACAGCTTCAGTTCCCAGTCTGGTGTTTTACAATGCTTCTGGTTATTTTCACTTTAGCTTTTACTCTTAGCTTAGCACTAATATGGATTCATGAGCCGCAAAGAAACCGCCAAACATTCCAGGTGAGCTTATAGATCATACGTTATGCTGCACAGTTAACTTTAATAAGGTGACATATTGTGAAAATGTATGACCAATGATCAGAGAATAAGAAAAATTTTTTGTTCCTTAGGTACCTTTGGTTCCACTGACTCCAGCTGCCAGTATCCTCTTCAACGTGTTCCTGATGATGAAGCTAAGCCTTTTGACCTGGATTCGGTTTACGGTGTGGATTGCTATAGGTAAAATAACAGCTACCATAAGATAACTATGAGTAAAAACACCAATGTATGTTGGTAATTCTTTTTTTAAATAACAAGGATCAATGACTCATTCGTTTCTCTTCTAAATAACTATCAATAATGCTGCTGAAATAGTGAAACAGATTGTTATTTATCTACAAAATTCATTCCCTGCATTTAACCCATCCCCTTGAGCTGCCATTGTGCAGTAACCCCAGACTGGTCTTTGCTCAGATACCCAGAGTGGCAGTCTGTGGGTGTGGGTTTTGAACTCATAACCTCAGGATTCCAAGCTCTATGCCCTAACCACAAGGCTGCCACTTCCACTGTTGTATGAGACAGAAAAAACAGTACATCAACTGAATTTATTTAATATTTTTTATTTTAGTTAATGCAAAACATCACCTTTGCACCATTTTGCTTATTTTTTCAAAAGAGAAGCATGTTTACAACAAGCTGATATTAGCAAACAGACATAAATATAGACTTAAAACACTACCCCAGTCTGTATTCACTCCTCTGCTTATTTATCCCACTGTGACGCCTTTTGTTTTCACACCATATCTGTGTTTTTTAGGATTTGACAAGCTTCCAGACAAGCAAATCTGTATGTCTTATTACCAAGGGAAATATGCCATTGCTTACTATGAGCATGCTGAAGTACAAAATTAAGGAGGATTATTGCAGAAAAAAATTTGCACCTTTGAAACTTCAAGGTTTTAGGAGCTTTACTAACCCAATGGGATTTTAAGGATGTTTAAAAAAAAACTTTTTTTTTTTTTTATCAGCTATCAGATTCCTCATTACAAATCACTGACTGGACTCAACATAACGTGATATGAGTCTTTGAATCGGAAACAATTTGAATGTCATTAAAAAGTGAACATGATGTAGTGCATGGGCAGATTGCACAAACATTTTCTGTACTTAAAGATAACAGATTTCCTCTCAGAGGATGTAGATGGTGGGGATGAGACGGTTAATGACAGATTTAATGGGAGGGGCGTCGGTAAACCTTTTAAACACTCATGTGAGCCAGAAACAAGCTGGCAATTTGCTTTCTTGTTGTATAGATACATGTTGAACATAAAAGGTTTCCAGGTATCATTGGCTCAGTTAGAATGGATACAGATAAAATCTTTGATAAAAACAAAAGCCCAGAATTCTTCACTTCAAATTAGGATAAATGTGGCCTGAAATGATGTATTTTATACCTTTGAAGTGTTATTCAACTATATCGTGTTTTTCAAGGTAGCCATAAATATTTTTATAAGCTATTCTTAGTTTTTTCTAGAAATAATTCATGGATTTATAAAAAAAATATGATTTTGCAAGTAATGTTTAGTTCAAATTTCCTAAAGCGTAATTCCTAATTTTGTCTAACTTTTCACTGAAACCAACCTGACTCTAAAAAACAACATATTTCTGTGTCTAATAATGATGGATTTAAATTGATTCTGCAAACTTAGGAAGTGTTAATGTTCACTCTTAAAATGCACTCTCTATGGCATCATGTTTCAAACACCTTATTTCAATGGTTATCTGTTATCTGTAGAAAGTATAATCTGAGTAAGGACAATGTTTTTCCAATTTTGGCTGTTTTCAATACTACACCAAGTAGTACTACAAAAATTATGAAGAAAATAGTCAGAGAAACTGCATGATTGGTTAAGGGATGTAGTTTGATTTGTTATAATGAACTTCCTCTTTTACTGGCTTGATAAAATATCTGAGTTATAAGTTTGAAAAGTTAGCAGAAGCGTCTTCAAAAGTTGCAAGACTGAGTAGGAAAATGTGAATAGGAGAGGCTGAGGTGTCTTACCTCTGACTTTCTTCTAAAAAATTGAATATGTGGCAGTAAAAATATTCGGATGAAAACTATTTCTCTTTATTAATCTTAAGAGGAAATAGTACTACACCATAACAAGTCATTTTTTCCTAAAATATGCATTTTGAATTGTGGATGTAAGTGAGACACCTTGCCAATGCAACAAGCCAATTTACATTTAAATTGAGAAAAAAACAATTGCATTGGCTTATTTCAAGTACATACAGTACTATCTTATTTTAAGAGTAAAAATACTAATTCCATTGGCAGATCATCTTATTTACCTACTCAAATTAGGTGTAAATACATTTGATTTAAGAAAGGATGACTTATTTTTATACCGTTTTTGAAGTGTAAATAAATTCTCCTTTCTTCAGTTAATTTGCTGCTTCAGGGTTTGAAGTTAAAAGATGCTAATAAAAAACATCACTATTCCAAAGTAGTTTGTTTTTTTCTGATCAGATTGAGATTCACTTTAAGTGGAATTGGTCTCTCTACGTTCAGAGTTTATTGGATCTACAACCACGTCACCTTTACGTAAAAGTTGGAAATAAGTAGAACCAATATTTTCTGTTTAAAGTATCACTAAAGCCTCCTAAAGTACCAAAACAGGTACCTTCAATACAGAACCATGGCTAAGTTACAGAAAGCCTCATTCATTCATAACAGATAACACTGTTTAGAAAAGCTAAATACTGATGAGCACAGTTGTATCCTTTTTGTTTTTGCTGTCCCCCTTGTAGTTAACAAGAAAGTTTTTGCCGTACCCCCATCCACCCTGTTTCAAATACCCTTATAACAGTTTATAAACTAAAGTAAGCTGTAGTACATTTGATATTGTTACAAAATAAACTAGAACCTCCTTTAAATCATAGAACATCTAATTTAAAGTGCAATCATAATCTTAAACTGTTTACTTTTCTGTGTCACAGAATTAAACATTTTCATTAATATTAAAAAAAAAACCTTCTAAAGATAGGTCATTTACTCCTAAGGAAATCTTTAGCATTTTATGTTGTAATTTCTCAGTAATGTGCACATTTTTTTCTTTTTTAACCTGTAATCAGTTTTATCAGTGTCCTGTTCCACCCTGTTCCCAGGTCTCCTGGTGTATTTTGGCTATGGGATCTGGCACAGTAAAGAGGGACTGAGGGAGCTGCAGCCCAAAGACATGGCCGCCCGCTATGTGGTGCTACCCAGCGGCAGCCTGGTGGAAACGGTGCAGTCCATTCAACCTGACGGTCAAGTGGTCACCTCAGCACATCAGATCAGCTCCTCTGATGCTTCAGCTGCTCCTGAGGCTTCTGGGAAGAGATAATGTGAGACGATTCTGAATCATCATCGATCCTGCCTGGTTTTATCTGTTGTCTCCTACGTGCACTGTATTATTACGCCTAGTGTACTATCTGTATCTCTCTTCCTGTAGCGCTACATGGTCTGTACTCATTACTCTGGTATCTGAAGATAGGATGGAAGGCCATTGTTCTGTCTTTTTGTTAAGCACATTTGTATATGTAAGAATCAAATGTACGGTACAGATATTCGTCACTGCCCTTGAGAACATAATAAGCTCTTTTCTTGCAACCTGGCCAGTTTTGTCTAAATTCCTGTTCATACCCTGTTTTACTATTATTACTTACACCTTTTTTTCATATTTGATCTTTTAGAAAGATTTTGACATAATTTATACAACAATTTACAATATAGAAGCAACAAAAATCTTTGGTTCTCCTAAGTTTAGTGGAAATGCACTAACTGTTCTCATAACGTCTTATTCATCCTTTAGAGCATAAATTCTTTATCAGAATTTACACACCCATATCTATGGAGTTTGTGTGTAATGAATAGCTCAATCTATGAAACCTAAATATAAAATATTTCAGCCAATTGGTTCTTTCTACTGCCTATTATAGATGGATTTCATCCTTTTTAAAGCTTAAGTTTGTTGTTGTTTTACTTTTATCTGCATTTTTTTACCCTGTTTTCATACATATACTGTTTAAATATTTATTATTAATATAATGTCAATCATCTTAGGACCTAAGTATACAGAAATGTCTTGTTATTTATCTTAAAATATTAAATATATCTATTTTTATTCTATAGATACTGCTATTATTTTTCATGTGATTGGAATTGCTTCAGTATTTCCTGTTTTTAATCATTTCCTTTCATCGTATGCATCATACGTGTTACTGACACATGTGGCTTTATTAGTCTCCAAAACTCTATAGTTTAAGAGTTCAGATTATCTTCTTAATCTCATCCCATGATCCTTCAATCATTTGTGTCCCTGATCCCAGGCATGTGATCAGCATTTTTTCCCTACCTCTCCAGACTACAGCCTTTATTTTAAGAGCACATCAAACTGAGATCATGTCCCTACATTTTATTTACATGAGTGCATGGAAAAGCACAGAGTTTTTCATAGGGATCCACTATGAATAAATATTAGCCAGGCAGTATGTTAAACCTGGATTCTCCCTCGTCTCTCCGAGGCCTCCGTAATCCCTTAGATTTGCAGCAGTCCCTATCACTAGTCTGACCTAGATCAGAAAAAGGCACAGATGTAAGAACATTACCATAACATGGAGACAATGTCCCCTTTACTTTGCACTAATGACCATCGAGTCGATATCACATGAAATATGTAAAAGCACTTAAAAAGATTTCAGTTCTGTTGTTACTGATGTTCATTTTCTGTTGCATGTTACAATAGAAACCAATGGCCTTAAAATGTAACACTTCTTATATCCAAAGCTGATTTACTTTTTTGTTTGTTAATTTGCCTGATAGATAAAGTATTTTATCAAATCATTATCCTTCATTTAAAAAAAAAAATGAGTTAATTCAAATGTAGATTGTACTGTAGAAAGCATTTTGGTGTAAGGTCTGCAAGAATTTTATACAACTTTGCACAGATTTGTCCAGTTAATTTGTTTCATAGCAATGCTTTTGGTGTCTGGGTTGGTGACTTTATATTTATACTGTGATGCTGATTTTTTTAGGCTTAACATTCTCACAACTTGATCTCTCTTTTTGTGCTAGGGTGCACAAATATGAGCGATCAGGCCTTTCTTACTTCTAAACGTTATTGTACTCTGCATTAGCACACCAAAGTCTAAGATCCCTGTGTTATAACATTACTTTGTGTAAAATTCAAAAAGACAAAAAATAATAAATGTTTTGAAGCAGCACCAAAATCCCACTGGAATATTATTGGTTTGTTTGAAAAGGAGCTGGCATCACATGGCTTGATCCCAATAGTTTCCATCATTGGAGTTGCTCTGTGTTCCAGGTTCTTCTCTTTCAAGTCATGAGGAAGAAATAAAAACCGCAGTTAAGCAACTTTGATTATTTACAAAATCAACACCAAAAAAAAAATAATGACAAGGAGGTAAGGAACCTTGTATAAATATTTATTACAAAGTTTTTCTGTCGCTCACCATCCCCAATCCGTAAAGTAAAACTCTTCTCAGAAATTGTATAGAGTAGCTTCCATCCATCCATTTTTTTGTCACCATTATCCCTGCTGGGGTCATGAGGGGTGCTGGTGCCTATCTCCAGCTTTCAATATGCAAGAGGCGGGGTCTCCAGTCCATCGCAGGGCAACACAGAGACAAACAGGACAAACAGCCATTCACACACACTCACACCTAAGGCGAATTTAGAGAAGCCAATTAACCTAACAGTCATGTTTTTGGACTGTGGGAGGAAGCTGAGGTACCCAGAGAGAACCCACTCATGCACAGCGAAAACATGCAAACTCCATGCAGAAAGACCCCGGGCTGGGAATCAAACCAAGAATGTTCTTGCTGCAAAGCAGCTGTGCTACCCACTGCTCCACTGTGCAGCCCGTATAAAGCAGCAGATCAAAGCAAATCAGCAAGTTTTTAGTGGTAATATTTCTGTCTAAATACGTGACTACTCTATCTCTTCTTTGCCAAATTTGATGTATATTTCTGTAAACAGCCCTAATCAGATTTAAGTCTGGACTTTTACTGGTTCATTCTGACACAGCAAGTTGCTTTGAGGGTTGGTCGCCTAGATGCTTACCCCATTTTTCACCATGGGTATTCCGAGTTCAGAATTATGTACTTTTTTTGCCTTCCTCTGCCTGGAAATTGGACTTCATATATCTTATTTGCTTATTTTTAACATTAACCATCTTCCTACCTCTCTACAAAAAAAGCAGAGTGCAACACTTGACAATTTTTCTTGACAGATTTTCATCTGCACCTCCTCCAGAGTCGTCGTTGGCCTTTTTACCTGTTTGTTCAGTTAAAGCAGTCACTATAGGTGGGCAGCAGTGTCTATATAGTTTTCTAATTTCAGATAAAGAAACAAACCCTTAGATATTCAAAGATTTGTGTTTCATTTTTACATCCAGGCACTTTTTTAAACTCCTCCACTTCTTACACCGCTGTTTACTAGTGTTGCACCGATACCAATACCATTATCTAAAATGGTGGTATCGGTATCGGTGTGTACCGACAAATAGGGCACCAATACCATTTTGAGAGCCAAAAGTTTATTCAACTATTGTCACCCATTCCAGGTAGGCAATAAAAAGTTTTACCAGATTCACTTTGTATTAGTCTTTTTCCTGCTTCACAAAGGTAGGCAGCAGCTTGACAAAACCATGATGGCAATTATTTTACACCTAAGTAGTATGCAGTCCTTCATATATACACACACCACACAATTTCAAACAGATGGTTTCAGTATGGTATCGATATCGGATGATACTGCACAGCCTGGTATCGGGTGAAAAAAAAATGGCATGGCCGCAACACTACTGTTTACTCTTGTCCTCAAACAACCATCGTAGACCTTCCCTCAACATAGGTTGACCAGACGTCCTCTTTTACCCAGACATGTCCTACTTTTTAGACCTAAAAACATGTCTGGGGGGGAATTTCAAAATTGTCCGGGATTTTGGTCGACAACAGTGTAGCACATAGTTGAAACATACCGGGCACTCGAACCGAGCCGTCAGAGATGTGCTTCCCCCAGCCTGCCTTACCGGCCCCTGGCTCATGGCTCTCTGCTGAGGTCCGGGGGTCCGGTCCAGTCAGCGGCCCAACTGTTGACCCCCCCTGCCAAAAAAAAATGTCCTCCTTTTCAGAAACCCAAATGTGGTCACCCTACCACAACAGCAAGGATGAAATTACAAACAGACTAACTTTATTTATTCACTGAGTCCCTTGATTTTGTTTAGGGATATCAGAGTGAAGGGGGCCGAGTGCAAAGCATGCCACATTTTGTATTTTTTTATTTGCAAAGTAAAACGTTACATTTTTACTCACATTTTAAAACTATGCACTGTTTCAACAGAAAATCAAAACAGAATGTATAGTTAAAAGTGTTTAATGGATTTGGACACTGTTCCTGGTGTTTATGACAATTATTTGAGCAGATCATTTTGTTTCCACTCATACGTCAGAAATTTCTACCAATGCAAATTTTGACCAGAAATCAACTTTCCTTAAATGTACCTCAGTAGTTTCTGTGGTTTCGGTATTCCTAAAGAGAGACAGAGTAGAATAGAACTTTATTGATCTCACAATGGCGAAATTCACCTGTGACATTGGCTCTCTAAACAAACAGTGCACAATGGAGGAAAAGGTGCATGAAGTATATACAGTGGATGGTAAAACAATAAAGCTCAATGTGATTCAAATTCTTCAAAATATACAAACAAAACAGAAAGTCAATGTGTTTTTTGCATAATTTGTTAATATAAGATAGATTTTATTGATCTCACAGTGGAGAAATTTGCTTGTCACGTTGGCTAAATATAAACAAAAAGGTGCCAAAAAGAGGAAAAGGTGCATGGGGTATATACAGTTTATACAGTGTGTCCACATATACGTATCAAACAGCTGAAGTCTCTTATTTAACAGGATTATTGCACTGGGTATTGCTGCTACTATTACTGTTATTTGTACAGTTGACTTCTTTCTGAAAAAAAAATGGTTAAAGATTAAAGGAGAGGGACTTGGAATGCAGGAAACAAATGCTGAGGATGATGGAAACACACTTCCATGGAAACTAGCACTCCTCTGTTCAGGCAGCACACAATCAGTGACAGACACCTGCGCCTCACATCTTTGTGTGAAAGACTCAAGGTTGAGTGAGCTGCTATGTACTCAGAACCACGTGACTCATGCTCTTTAAAGGCCATTCTTTCACACACATGCAGGTTCGTTAGAGACACCTATCATATGACCTGAATGCTGAGCTGTGTCAGCCATGGCTGTTCCAGCTTAGGAGCATTAAAACAATGCATTGTCAAAAATGAATCTGCTTAAATGCATTTACATTTCTAAGGTTTGACTTTTTTTTTATCTAACTTGGATTAAAAACAGAGTTGATTTGTATCAGCTTTTTGTGGCCTTGCTCTCTTTGTTCACTTCTGTGGTTTGAAGAGTTGTTTACAGAGATAAAGGGTACAATGGTAATTAGGAATCACAAGTATGTGTGCATTTTAACTGCGAATGTGAAGTTGCAGAGAAACATTAAAATAGAAGTTTTTTAATTGCAGGGTTTTTTTCTACAGTCAAATGGGAAACAGGCAGCGCCCTCTGCTGTACAACTGTATGAACTACCCACAAGTCACAGATCATTTAGTAGGAAAATAAGTGAGGGTGTAACTAGTGAAGGTGAATTTGTGGTACAGCAGCATATTTGTTCAGTTGTATTCGCCGATTAGTAGCTGTGATAAAGAAAAAATGTATGACACTACAAAAGGAATGTGGGAGGATATATATACAACTGTTTACATTTGTTTTCAATCTGGTCTGTTCCTGTTTGGCTGTGACACTGTCCTGGAGAGAAATATCACCTGTGCTGCTGCCATCAACACCTTTGTTTACAGATGTTCGGGCTCTGCCTGTTTTTCAGTGTAGTCATGTTTCTCTGACTGTGACTGGCTGGATGTGCTCTCTTTCATCCACTGACATGGGAGATGGCTCGGAAGTCATCTGCCTTGCTGTGTGTTTCCTGGACGGGGCCGCCTGTGGAGCTGGTTGACACTTTCCCTTTGTATCTCTGCTTCTTTCTGTATGCCTGCATCTATCTCCTTGAACTCCAGTCGGCCTTGGCAGAAAGCCAATCACACTGAGCCTGGTTCTGCTGAAGGTTGCTTTCTGTTAAAAGGGAGTTTTTCCTCTCTACTGTCGCTACAAGCATGCTTAGTGTGAGGGATTGCCTTCTAGTCAATGAGTCGATGCAATCAACAGTTTTTTCTTAGATAGAAAACTTTCAATCAATTTGACTGTAAGATCTGGTGAACTGTAAGTGCCTTGAGATGACATGTGTTGTGAATTGGCGCTAAAGAAATAAAATGAATTGAATTTTGTACCCTTTGTTTCAGAGAAACTGAAGCCGAACTGAGAAGGCATACGATTTTTATGTGACTCTGCACAATTTGCATACCTGTATTTAAGAATTTGTTGTGTTGTAACTCAAAAATTACAATGCACAAATAGTTTTACAAACATTTTCGATCAACTAAAGCAAAGGTGCAAATGTAAGATTAGATCTGCGACTCATAAAACACAGTTTGTGCTCCAAAATTTATAGAGTTTTTTTTTTGTAATTGTAAAACTTAGAAAACAAAAAACTTCAGTTTTGTTTCCCTCTGCAGTTTTAAATTCCCAGTTACAAAGCACAAATATGTATGATGCAAAATTATGTTAATAGAAAAGACACACAGTATTTTTTTTTTTTTTTTTTTTTTTGTTTAGTCTTTTGCATTCAATAGTTGAATTCTGTTACCTAGCAATTAGTATTGCAAACTGAATCAAAAGTAATAGGAGAGGGTCTATTCTTGGAGCCGATTATGTTGTCCATCATGATAAAAGTAAGACAATGAGAACAAATGTTGTCTAGATTCAAACGAAACAAAAACATTTATTGGCAAATCAAACAAAACATTAACATTTTATAGGGAAGGGAGGTGCATGAACTTCACATATTTACAGGACTTGGCTGCTGAATGCAGTTATAAATCAGCCGACGCATGCACTAATTGGCCAATACCGATTCAAAAAAATTATATCAGGCAAAATATCAGCTGGGAGATGTAATGGTCTATCTTCGGTTTCTGTATAATCATTGCAGTTAATATTATTAATTTCCTCCCCTTTTTTTTGGAGTGGGATGAACATATAACAGCAGTCACAAAAAAATTGTTCAAAGAAACAATGGTGGTTGAAATTTGAACTTTAGAAAAAGAAAAATTATAGATACATTTGCTTGTTATACTTTCCCTTATCAAGTATGTGTTACTTGGTTGGTGAGATCATCTCCATTATCTGGAAACAAGTTGTACTGAATGGAGTCAGTAGTCGTTTGTGTCGCACTTTATAGTGGCACCTGTTTCCCCCCTTGGTAGGCGTTTTTCCAGCAATGGATCACCTCTAATACACAACACATTCGCCTCTTCAGTCACATTTAGTTTAAGCAATTTACAGTTAGAAGGTTTTTTTTCAAGAAGTAAACTTTTTGTTAAATGTCTGCATTTTTCTTTAAGTTATCATTTAGGTACACATTTGTGCCTTTCACTTTCCTTCCTTGTTTTTTTATACAGTATTTTTTAGTTTTCTGCTTACAGACCCCAATAGGGTGACTGAGTTGTTGACTTCGTGGTAATGCAGGGGTGTCAAAGTGGTTCCAGAAAGGGCCGTGTGGCTGCAGGTTTGCTTTCTAACCAAGCAATAGCACACCAGACTCCAGTCATCTCATCAAGAGTTCAGATTGGACTCACTTGATAAGATGAGTGGAGTCTGACACCACTGTGGTAATTAATGGATGGCAGGCTTCAGTGTCCTGAGTTCTTATCTCCATTCCTTTCATTTTCATAAATGTGATAACCTGTTGTTCTACCGATCTTTTTCTGTCGACTTTCCTTCAGAAGCCACGGCTCTTAGTAGCTTTGTGGTTTATTATCTAATCCAGTGATAATAAAGTTATTGCTCCTAGAATATGTTTAAAATCTTTGTGGCTCTCTGAGGACTTGATTGTCTTGTTCTTTGTTTCATCGTCCCCATTTAGCGCCGCAATTTGCTTTGACAAGCCTATTTTTTTAAAATCTTTTGTTTAGAAATACCATTGTTGATCAGGCCTTTCTTCTAGCGTATTTAGTGTCTCTGGTAGTTATTTTAATGTTTTCTTAATTCCCTTAAATTCTTCCTCCACTGCTTTCTCTTTGGTCCAATGCTTGTATGTGTATTACAGTCCATATCTAATGGTTAATAAATCATTTATAGATGTATTAATATCTAGACTGTTTATAACTGCTTAATATGCATTTAACATGACTAATGTTCAAAATGCTTATTTTGCCTATAAGGTATGTTAGTCTGAATTGATTAAACTTCATGCATTCTTAGAGGGGTGTCCCTGACCCCGCATGGGTTCCCCCCAAACCACGTATAAGAGGGCTCTCCTAGACCCGGCTGTAGCTTCCATGGTCCCAGAGGGGTCTCCCAGACCCCGCAGGGTTTTCTGAGTTTCAATCAGGCATATGAATGAAACCACTCTGATGAGGGAGTCACAACCCCCTAACAACCATTAACACCATCCAGGTGACCTCCAAGCTAATCCAGTGGGAGGGATCAGAGCCACCTTTTGTTTTTTCCTCAATTATTTGTTACATCTACAGTATATTAATCTCAGTGCTCCCCACCATCAGTTAGATCCGAGAAAGCCTCTCAAACTTCATTTTACTTATTTTACCATTAACATTACAGTGCTTTTGTTTGCTAAACTTCTTCCAAATGATAAAGAACCAGTCTGGTCTCTGGGTTGGGCTTGAACTTTCCAGGCAAACAGCTGATCCGCTTTGGTCTTCACTTTGTGTGTCGAGGTGGATCCACCTGTTAAGGCACAAAAACAGATTTCCATGATGCTGGTGAAGATTCAGACATCCAGGTCATGGTCATTCCAAAAAAAGTAAAAAATTTAGACTTAGAATTTGCATGTTTTCTAAGCCAAAACAAGGCTTTGATTTTGGCCCACTCTATAAAGAATTTCTGACATTTTGAATAGAAAAATATTCCTGGATGGGAAGCCAAACGTCTTCAAACTTGGAAACAAAGTCCAGTGGATCTTTTTTTTTTATTTTTATTTTTTTACTTTTTTGGACAGATTTCTATGATCCAATTGCAAGTGGAGTCTAGGTTACCTCAAATATCACTTTTCGTCCCACTAAATCATATCTTAAGTTATTGTCCCCTATTCTTACCCTGGTGGAGTTAAATATTTGTCTTTGTCGTAGTTTCTCAAGACTTTTTTGGAGAGTAGCATTTTCCTGTTCCAGAAGTTTTATACGAAGGCTGTTTGCCTGCTGTTGTTGCTCCATATCTAAAATCAAGTTTCCGGTACCTTGCAAAAAGGAAAAGGAAGAACATGCAATAAATGAAAAGAGTTTAACTTTTTAGATAAAATTTAAAATTTCAACCCTGAAATAGAGTTTTCTGTGCAATTTCTGTCATGGACATATGTTTATATGTACATGTTTGTTGACCAGCCCAGGAGATATTTGGCAGGAAGAATGATCCTCTGGGTCACACTGTATTTTTACCCCAAAGAAATAATAACTCGTGGAAGGTAACTGATCAACAAAAAGGGGAATATGAATTGAAAAAAGAAAATACATTTTATTTTAAAAGGAACAATAAGGGCTTTTATTTATTTATTTATTTATTTATTTATTTATTTATTTATTTATTTATTTATTTATTGTGTGCTTCAATGAATGGCTGCATTTCTCAATGTTATTTATTTGTGGTTAGCTAATTAAAAGTTGCATATGTTCTAAGACCTTTCCTCACATCTTTATCAGAAACTAATATGTGCATGACTTAAAATGAAAGTGGGAATTTCTTACTTTGCGGTTGGGTTTGAGCCCAGTCGTTTAGCTCTGGAAAAAGCACCAGAAGTCTCTCCCGCTCCCTCAGTGTATTCACATGCTCTGTTAATTGTGCCACACGTTTTTCCAGCTCATCTGCATGTGTCTGTAGTGTTTGCTTCTCTCTTTGGAGCTCTCTATAGATATCCTGATGGAAGAAAACAAACAGGTGAACATTGATTGTATTCTTTGAGTCATGGATGTGCAGGCGCTCTCGTTTACCTGCTGTTGAGAGAGCTGAGCCTCTTGTTGCTCCTTCAACTTATAAATATCTTGCAGCCGTTTGTTTAAACTGCTCTGGGCATCTTCCTTCTCTTCCAATTGCTTCTGTAGCTCGTCACACTCTTCATCCAGAGCATCAACTCTTTCTAATAAGGACTGCTGCTTTGCCTGCATTGACTAGATCCACAACCATCAAATAATAATTGTTTATATCAGGTAAAATTGTCGTTTTAACTGCAAAGCTGACCTCCTGTCGACAACAAGCGCTCTGATACTTGGCCTTCTCCTTGTCGAGGAGAAGTTTAGTGTCACTGAGATGAGTTTCAAGCTCCAGGATCCTTTGCTGGAGTTTACTGTACGCCTCTTCATCTCTTTGCATCTCCTTTTCGTCTTCTGTTTGGAAAGAGTATGGAAATGATTCTTTCTTACAGAGAAACATTAGAAGAGCTGGTTGAAAGAGGTTCAGTGTGTGCTTTACCCAGTGCTTGCAACATGTTTAGCTGGAGTTCCACCTTCTCCTTGAGTCTGGTATTGTTCTCCTCCAAGGACAACATTTCTATCAAAAATACATAAAAGAAAAATCATAAAAATAATCAAATTAATGCTATGGTCCCTGCAAAAGTATTCACATCCCCTGTTTTATATTTCCATCTTTCTTTTTATACCACTAAAGCCACATTTTTCAATGCATCACACTGGGATTTTTGGTGACGAACCAAGTGACCATAAATGTGTGGGGTGATAGAGCAATGAGATGTTTCTTTTTTCTTTTTAGCTTCTCGGTTGAATTAAGATCTGGACTTTGACTGAATAGTTCTAATCAATAAATATGCTTAGATTTGAAGCTTTACAGACCTAGTTCTAATTGTTGGAAAGTGTGCTTGCCCTTATTTTCACTAAATCATAAAAAGAAAGCAAAAAAGGATACTTGTAGGCATTTTCATTTTTACTATTCCTACAGTAACAATAACAACAAAAAGTAAAATAAAAATTACGGCTTTTGCCCATGGTGAACTCAATAAAAGGTGTGAAGCAACTACTAGAGAACCCCTCCTTGATGTTATTCTTTTAACAGCTGTGGCGACTGAGCACAGCAAGCCGCCAATCACATGGTGATGCAATGCAAACAGACTGACTCAGTTGTTTCTCCTACAGGCGGCTATGCAGCAACACAAAGGTGAACTCTTTGCAAACTCTTTGAACCAGTAGAGCTGTAGTTGTGATCCAGGTGGGGTCCTGTGTGTGTACCCACAGAAACTTGAGGTATTTCACTCAACACAAATACTCCATTGACGGTAAGCAGAACATGGACTCTTTTCTGTCTCCTGAAGAAAATGGACACCTTTTTTTAGGTATTGTAACAGTGGGAGTGGTAATTTTTCTGTTGTGAATGTAAAATTTGTTTTTTGGCACATATTCACAATGAACCCACTGATTAAAAGTAGCTTCTAGTGATCGAATTGAAAAAAAAAAAACCCTGATAAGATGGGTAAACAAACACTGCAAAAAATGGAAATCTAAGTAAGTCATTATTTTCTTAAAATAAGTGCGTTTTTTTCTCGAATTGAGGATGAAAGTGAGACACTTTGCCAATGGAACAAGGCAATTTACATTTAAAATAAAAAAAAACTATTGCATTGTCTTATTTCAAGTTCATATTTTCTAATTATCTTATTTTAAAGATACTATTTTTATTGGCAACTCATCTTATTTACCTTCTCAAATTTAGGGTAAAAAAACTTAATTTAAACATTTTTTTACTTATTTCTAGATCTTTTTTGCAGTGAAGGTCTGATCCCCCCACATAAACAGGTGATAGAAACCATCCTGTTGGGATTCTGCAAGTTTTAATGACTAAAATAGGCTAAAAGTGAAAAAAAAATGTGTTTTAGGTTAAATGATTAAATTTAAAGCATTTTTGGAGAAAGTGAAAATAATCCTTTAACTACCTCTCTTTAGTTGCTTATGTTCTTCTTGCAGCCTTTGCTCAGTTTCCTTTGAGGATCTCTGTGCTTTCTGAAGAGCTAACTCCAGCTGGACTATATTGGCCTGGTGTTTTTCCACCTCTTCTTTAAACTCCTTCTTCACGCTTACCAGCTGAGAACTAAATCCGTCTCGCTCTGATTCAGCTTTTCTGAGGGCTTCTCTAAGAGGCTCCACTGTACTCCGCACATCCTGAAGATGTTTTCCGAGGCGGCGCATGTCCCTGAGTTGCTCTTTGGCCCACAGGGCAACATCACCCGCCGTCATTTTTCCTGGATCCACTGTGTCTTGCATGGCATCTAAGAGAGGCTGTAGAGCAGAGGGAAGACCCTCACTCTGGAAAAGATCGATCAAAGCATCTCCTGTGTTTCTCAAAAGGGATTGCACTCGATAACATGCATCACAGGGTACAAGCAAGGACTCCACTGTCTGACAGGCAGCACTGTGCCGTTGAATTTTAGAACAGGATGAGGCATTGAGATCTGGACCTGAACTTGTGTGATTCTCAGGGGGGAATTTGAATGAGGTTGGACAAAACAAGGTAGAGGCACAATTTCTGCAGAAATCAGACCCTGAGCTGGTTGGGGAAGATGGAGAGGAGACCTTCTTCTGATTAGTGTCTAATGCCTTTGTTTTGATCTGTTTTATGTCTTTGGAGTTCTCCTATAAAACAAAGAAACAGTTGAAAATCAATGAAAGGTCAAATTACAATGTCAAATGTTTACCTTTATGCATACCTTTGTGTTTGCATACTGAAGTAAGTTACCCCAATAGTTCCTGACCACAAGGCCCACTGAGAGGCATCCTTTCTGCTGGCTTTGATCTCTTCTGTATCTGCCCTTCTGTAACTCTGTAAAAGCCCCGACGCTTTGTAGGAGGAGCAGGAGTCTAGATAAAGCAAAAGAGAAAGCAGCATGTTAAATTAAATCTTTAAGCGTTCTGTCACAGAAAATGTCTTGCGTAGGTTTTAATACCCCTTGAATATTTTTACATGGTGATACTTTAGAGCCAAAAATAATATAACAGATTTAATCAGGATTGAGTGTGGTACAAAATCACAAAGTACGGTAGTAAATAATTGTGAAATGGAAGGAAAATGCTTTTCCCAAACAAAAACTTGAAGCTTTTAGAAATCTGTTTGTGTTCAATATTCTTTATCCGATTTCCCACAATAAAACCAGCAGCCTTCAGAAGTCACCTAATTAGTCAAAACTTCATCTGAACACACCAGACAAGTCATAGAAATTTAAAATATTCTTAAATAACCATCTAACAGAGCACTGCCAGTCATTCACACATGGAAAAGCACACAGTTTAGCTGAAAAACTACACACAAATGCCCAATTATTGAGACTAATTACAAGCAGTGCAAGTTGTTAATTTGTGTTCATTAGAAGGATCAAATATTCAGATAAAGGTTTTTCTAAATAACACAGAAGCTTGTTGATCTTCAGTCGAATCCTTTTTTATCTGTTAGACACTTTTAAAAATATTAAAGACATTTTTTTAAAGTTACCTTTTGTACAGCTTTCTTGTTTGATCAACATAAATTCACATTATTTATTGTTGAAATAAAATATGTTTTTTTTTTCTTTATAAATATTTCTCATGACAAGTATATTGTGTTTATTTTATTAAAAGAAGGGAGATTTTACCTGTATCTTCCCCCTTTTTAAGGAGTTAAAAGCCTTGCTTCCTCTTCAGTGAAGAAGTGTTGCTGAATTAGACACAGCACATTTTATATTAAGCTATTTTCAGCTGTGGGGGCTAGGAGAGGACTACAGTACAAGCTATGTCAAGATTTTCTGATGCAATAACCTACTTTAAAATTTGCATCAGAAAAACCTGATGGAAATGCACATCATGTCTGTTCCAACCCATAATCATCGGTAGAATTATTTTTATTTTATTATATCAACAGCACAGAGGCCAGGCTCGGACAGTTAATCTGTGGACATTTGCACGATTTCAGCGTGCAAGGGCCGGCGCTCCTTAAATCATACCGGCCCCAACACTTACTCTCCGGCCACAGCACCTACCTGTGACAGTAACTAACTCAAGGAGCGCAAGAATTTTTGGCAAATGGTGTAATTTGCTTTTTCTTCAAACTGTGAAAACCTTGCAACAAACTAAATTATAATAAAACTAAAATGCATTCTTTAAACCAAACTACGATGTTCCTCTTATATTTGGCGAATTTATGTTCGAATATTTTGCAAAAATAAGATGTGGTGCATGATGGGGTTTTGTATTGTTGCCAGGTTGTGATGTTTCCCAATCTGGCAGTTTAGGATGGCCGTCTATGGGTAAAAAAATGTTTTTCTTTAGATTTATTGCCTAAGAGATCAATGGACTTTGGTTCAAATTGGGTAAAATGTTGCATATCCAGGCGGTTTATGAACATTTTTTGAACCGGAAAACATGAGTCAGTGACAGTGCTGTATGTGTGAGTGGGTGTCTGGCTGGCTGGCTTCATGCAAGTGTGGACGTTACGCAGCAGCAGTCACTGTCGCGTCCGTGTTAATAACCAAAGCTAGTACAACTGCATAAAACCGGGGTCCATAAGTGGGCCTGTGTAGATGGAAAAACCCCAGGAGCGAAAATCGTTCCCAGTCCGAGCCTGACAGGGGCTATACCAGGGCCCAATACCAGCTCTACACTGGAAAAATTATATAGAAATAAGAACAAATTTCTTAAATTAAGTGTATTTATCCTTAATTTTAGTAGATAAATGAGATCGTTTGCAAATGGGATGCATATTTTTACTCTTAAAATAAGATAATTAGATAATATGCAATTGAAATAAGACAATGCAATTGTGTTTTCTTATTTTAAGTGTAAATTGTCGCGTTCCATTGGCAAGATGTCTCTCTTATCTCCTCAATCCAAGAACCAATGCACTTATTTTAAGAAAATATGACCTATGTAGAGTTTAATTTTTTGTAGTGTAAGGGGGACTGGCCCCTCTTGGCCCCTCTCTTGAACTTCCCATGGCTGCTGGGTAGAGTGACCACCAGCTTTATGCAACTCATCCAACTCCAGATTGGATAAGCCTAATTTTAGAAATGAATTTAGCATAAACTGGTGAAATTTCAATTTCAACCGCCCATGGTTGAAACCAAATAAATGTTTTAAATATTTAAAGTGTTTATGGTAATACCTGTCAACCACCAACTCCAACAAAACAACATGCGAGTGCTGATTGTATGCGTCCTCTCCATTCACAAAATCATACTCCTCCAGCAAAGCCACCATGTCCAAACTGCAGGCCAGTTTGTCTGGGGACTTCCAGGAGGTGTAATGGACCGGTCCGGTTCTGGAAAGCACGTCCTCAATCGCAACCTGAATATCGACCAGGTCTTTCCGGAGGTTCTTGATGCAGTTCTCACGGCCCAACAGCTCAGTCATATCTCACTATTATTTTTAAATATCATCTGTTTTACACACTAATAAGAAACCTGCTGACATGTTGACATTGTGTTTCCCCGACAACGGCAAGAGCAACACTCCAAGATCCACAATGCATTGCGTCTTTCTCCGGAAGCAATACGCGTCCATTAAACCGAGAGGAAAGAAGAGATAATTATTTTTATTATTATGGCCAAGTTCTTTATATATAAATGTCAATATAGAGGCTACAAACCGTGCATTACTGCTTTTAATCATGAAATCAAACAATACATTGACACCATACAATTATCAGAAAATAAGAAAGCAATCAAAACTCGAGTCCTATTTAATCGTCTTATTTGGACAGCTGTTTCCCCCTAGCGTTTACTTGTAGCTACTATTTTTTTTTCTTGTCTTTCTTCCTTACTGTTTCTTGTTTTGCACAAAACGAGGACAGTTACTTGACTGGTAAACATCTGAATTTACACCTGTTAAAAATATGTGTAAAAAAAAATGGTTGTTAAGAATACCTATAGTGCAATATGGTTGCTCTGTAATGTTCTTTGGAGAAACATAAAATTGTATTGAAAAAAAAACCTCACGACTTAGAATAGGACACACATTATTGAATAGGTCATTATTTTTAATGGGGAAACATCAGACAGTGGGGAAGATCAGACAGTGGAACATGTTATTTTGAGTTGAAGGACATTTTTGATTCAGAGAAACAAGTTAATTAGGAAACCTAGTGATATGAAAATTAAATTTGACATGGTTAATTTACTGCAAAAGGAATCAGAGGATATCGGGTTATATTTGAGTTTTTGAAACAGTTTAAATTGTATAACAGGATATTGTTTTTGTTTTTTGCCCTGTGGTCCACACTCCTTACCGGTTGGTGGCGGTAACGCTCACCTAACGTTTTTGCCATCCGCCTTTAAAATTTAAAGAAGAAGAAGAAGAAGAAGAAGACAACGTTGAACCGCCGTGAGTATTACGAGTTTGACAATTTTAACTGAAATTGATTTAATTTAAAGATCACTTTGACTGTTAAATAGCTTTTATTGTATGTTTAATTGTGTTTGTGCTCGGCGCCTTTCAGGTAGCTTTCCATTTTCAGCAGTGAAGACGCAGCCATGCCGCCCGGGCCCGTTCAGATAGTTCAGCCGGAGCCCAACAACAAGGTAACAGCGCAGCTTAGCTGGCTTTAACGTTATCGACTGGAGCACAGTGTGGAGTATAACCTCCCTTTTTTTTTTTATATATTACAATGTTTTGCTATCCGTCTGGGTATTTTTTTTTACGTTTTAAAAAAGACCCGGGGTTTTTAAAACATGCTAAATGAATGAGCTTGTTAGCATGGAGGCTAAGTTGGAAAACAAAAGTAAAGTGTTTGTCTCTGTAGTCCTAATCAGCATAGTATATGTTGATTTGGATTAATTGATTTATTGAATATGAGATGACTTGATCTTAAGACAAATAATCTTATTTCTTTTTATAGTTTTGAGAAAGAAATACACAATAAAAGATAAGTTAGAACAAAGTGATTCAGGTGCCAAACAAATTATTATTGTATTACACCCAGTACTGAAACTTCCCTGTAATAAAAGATAAGTTAGAACAAAGTGATTCAGGTGCCATACAAATTATTATTGTATTACACCCAGTACTGAAACTTCCCTGTAACAGAAAGCTAAAAAAAAAAGCTATAAATCGTGAGATGTACAAATAGATTGAAGAGATTTGAATTGGCCTGGTTAATTTTTTAAAACAAAATCCATTGCATTGCATACAACAGCAAAGGAAACCTACTACCAGTCTGAAAATGCACCAACCAGTACTATGTAGTTTGATAAAATAGAAAAATGATTAACTTTATTGATCTCACTATGGAGAAATTAACTCTATGCATTTAACCCATCCCCTTTGGGGAGCAGTGGGCTGCCACCGTGCAGCACCCAGGGAGCAATCAGGGGTTAAGGGTCTTGCTCAGAGACCCAGCAAGACCCTATATGCCCTAATCACTAGGCCGGCTCTCCCCCATTTAGCTATCTGAATGAAACAGCAATTAGATAACAATTAGGCACATGTTGCAAATCCTTTGTGTTGTATTCAAAACCAGTCTCTTAATGAAAGAGCCTGCACCTATTTTCAATTATATCTAGTTTTGTTGTTTGAAAAAGAAATCTAACCAATCCATATCTGAACTGTCATTCCAATCCTTACAGAAAATTTTTCTGTTTAATAGTTGCTTTGCATTAAATAGAAAGCACAAACCATTGGTATTATTTTATAATAGTTTTATAAAGTGTGCATGTTTGTTATCTACAGTTGTAGATCTTAAAACATTTGATATTTGTAAATCCTTTCAGCCAAATGATGGTGCTGCAGAAGAGACCCCAGCCACTAAACCCATTGTTGGCATCATATACCCTCCTCCAGAGGTCCGGAACATTGTTGACAAGACCGCTAGTTTTGTAGCCAGGTTAGTTATCCTGCATGTGATGTACTTACACACTTAAGCAACTGTCTTAAATTAGCTTTCATTTAAATTTTTTGTTTGTTCGTTTCTTGTGACTTTAAAGGAATGGACCAGAGTTCGAAGCAAGAATCCGTCAGAATGAGATCAACAACCCTAAATTTAATTTCCTTAATCCCAACGATCCCTATCATGCTTATTACCGCCACAAGGTCAATGAATTTAAGGAGGGAAAAGCACAAGAACCCTCTGCAGCAATCCCTAAGGTCATGCAACAGCAAGCCATGCAGCAGACCCAGCAGCTTCCTCAAAAGGTATTGCACTCACCTGCACAATATTTGCTCTTATGTTGCTTGTAAATTATCCTAATTTATTTTTTTTTTTATTAATAAGTGATTCTTTGTTTATTTTTAGGTGCAGGTGATTCAGGAGGCCGTGGTCCCAAAAGAACCACCTCCAGAGTTCGAGTTCATTGCTGATCCTCCATCAATCTCTGCATTTGACCTGGATGTCGTGAAGCTAACTGCACAGTTTGTTGCTCGCAACGGCCGTCAGTTTCTCACCCAGCTCATGCAGAAGGAGCAGAGGAATTACCAGTTTGATTTTCTGCGCCCACAGCACAGCCTTTTCAATTACTTCACCAAACTGGTGGAGCAGTACACAAAGGTATCCTAAAAGCTTAAGCCTGGATCTGATCTTCATGGTTGGTCTGTGTTAATTGACAAATGTTAACTGCTTTTTAAACTCTACATCTTTTAGATTCTGATCCCTCCAAAAGGCCTGCTAATCAAACTTAAGAAAGAGGCTGTGAATCCAAAGGAAGTTATGGACCAGGTAATTTATTTAAGCATCAAAAGAAAAGCCAATCATAGCAGTTTACAGCAACTAATTATGTGTATTTGGATCCAAAAATCAGGTGAGATACCGTGTTGAGTGGGCTAAATACCAGGAACGTGAGAGAAAGAAGGAGGAAGAGGAAAGGGAGAAAGAAAGGGTAGCATATGCCCAGATAGACTGGCATGATTTTGTTGTTGTGGAGACTGTGGATTTCCAGCCTAATGAACAAGGTATTATCTTTACCATTTGTCTTTTTGACTATCAGGCAAATGGATGATTTTAACTAATAGATTTATTTATTTTTTTCTCTGTTACCTCCAGGCCACTTCCCTCCGCCTACAACCCCAGAGGAGCTGGGCGCTCGCATCCTGATCCAGGAGCGCTACGAGAAATTTGGAGAAAGTGAGGAGGTTGAAATGGAGGTTGAGAGTGAGGATGAAGATGATGAAAGAGAGAAACGTGCTGACGGCCAACCATCACAACCTGATCAAGATACTCAAATCCAAGACATGGATGAGGTTAGACCTTAGCGGAGGAATTGGGCTATTCACATACAACGCAGTTTTTGATATATATAAAAAAAAAAAGCTTTTTAGTTTTTGTTTAATCTTTCCATAGTTGATACATGATTTCAAATAATTACTGGAAACGAGCGTAAACCTTAAAGCGTGTCTTTAACAGTATTTTATTTGTGCTGCTTCAGGGATCTGATGAGGAAGAGGATGGTGGGAAGGCTCCATTGCCACCAGACAACCCAATGCCTCCCCCGCTTCCTCCAGCTCCAGAACAGGTTATTATTCGCAAGGACTATGACCCTAAAGGTAAACTTTTATTCACTCAGTTATACAAGGTTTTTGACTCATTCAGTTGGCAGCAGCGTAAAACGTCACTATATCAAACAAACCCAATACTTTTAATAAGTTACACATCCTTAATAAAACAAGTAGAAAACTAAAAGGTCTTATGACATGAGAAATGGCTTAATCAAACATAACATTGATCAAAACATTTACTTGCAGATATTTGTCTTTATACACATTGACCTTTTCTGTGAAGTGGTCTTTAATTGTGGATGATATGGGAGCTGAGATCTAGAGTGAGTCATAAAATGTAACTTTTTTAAATTAAAAACAGGTCAAACAGAAAATTAAATATATTTTAATTAACATTTATTAAACTTTTATAAATAATGTGTGTGAGGAAAGCTTTACAGTAGACTGTGTGAAGAGCATTCAAGCAGCTTTAAAGGCATTCGAGTTAGACATCTTTTATTTTATCAGCCTGAAAAATAAGGATTGGAAACATGAACATAGTTATTTGTTGTGATGTTTAAAAATGATTAAAGCACATTAGTCATTTATGTAATCGTGCGGCTATTATTTAAAACCCCACAGACACAAATGCAGCTTCAATACATATTTTTGAAAGCTTTTATGCTGATGTTTTTCTGCTCTCATGGATAAAACAGGAACGATAAAAGATACCAATGTAATTCTAGTTTATAAAGTTTGTAAACATCCTGCATTATTTAGTTATTTATATTAATCATATTGAATGAAAATTCTTTAGACAATAAAGCATTTGACAATAACAGTTAAACATGGCACAATATTCGGCCTTCCCTTTGCTAAAGGAAGGGATGAATTCATTCTGGAGGACAAAAACTCCCAATTTGCTAACCAACTGCTTCATTTGAGACTTTTGACAAGGGGATAATCAATCAAGATTTCTGGGAATCTGTGTTTGGACCCTCAATCTTAGCAGTATGGAGTGTTG